CCCCCCCCCCCCCCCCGTAGCGGGGATTAAACTCAGGACCCTGTGCTTGCTAGGCAAGCGCTTATTCTACTGAGCTATCTCCCCGGCCCCAATCTATCTTTTTGTTTGTTTTTCAAGATAAGGTCTCAGTGCATAGCCTAGGCTAACCTTGAATCCATGGCAGTCCCCCTGCCGCAGCTTCCCAAGTGGCCTTATCCCTTTCTTAATAGGTGTTTCCTTATTGTTCTTATTTATACTATGGACATGTAAAACTCCCTAAAAGGACATTATGGTTCAGGGGTTGTGGGCCAGGGAGATAGCTCTGTGGCATAAGCGCCTGCCTAGTTCTGGCAGGCTGTCATCCAAATCCTTCATCTGGCACATCATAAATTTGTAATTCATAAGGAGGGAGATATGATTCCCCCTCAAAAGAAAAAAAGCCAAATAATGGTGTGCAAGGAGATGATACTTGAATTCAAGCAAAAATACCCACTCAAATTGAAATTATCAAAGTGTTAAAACATGTGTTGGGACCTAAAAAAGTAAGACTACATACTATACTAAAAACAGTGTGCTATACTGAAGAACGGCGTCAGTCCACACCGCATCACCTGCCTGTCTTCTCTGACCCCCCTTTGCCCTGCCCCAGGAATGACTTACCTTTTATGAGGTAGGGGTCCAGCATCTGAGCCTGCTCAAACTTGAGGACAGAGTTCTTACTGTCTCCAGCTCTGAAGTACAGATCTGCTAAGCTTCCCAGCAAGTCCACGTTATCTCGCAATAAGGACTTTTTCTCTAGTGAACTTAAGACATTAAACAATATACCTTAAAAATCTATTAGAAATACTTGGTTTTGGTTTTTTTTTTTAATGGTTGTTGAATCTGGAAGACTAATATAGATGCCATTTTCTGTATTTTTTTCTCTTTTTTTGTCTTTTTGGAGACAGTCTCGCTATGCAGTTCAGGCTGGACTTGAGCTCACTTTGTAGTCCAGACTGGTCTCAAATTTGCAAGATCCTCCTGCCTCAACCTCCTGAGTGCTGGAGTTACATGTGTATGCCACCACATCCGGCTCTGTGTTTTTTACATTAATTTTTTTTTTTTTTGAGATAGGGTCTCCCTGCATCTGACTTTGAACTCACTATGTAGTACAGGCTGGCCTCAACCTCGTGATCCTCCTGCTTCTGCCTCCTGAGTGCTACGATTACAGGCATTTTAGCCATCATATCTGACTAAAAAAAAAGTTTAAAAGAAATGCTGTAGGGCCAGCCAAATAGCTCATCAGATTAAAGTGTCTGCTTAGGCAGAGGCACTGGTGTGCCCGTCAGTGCTGGCCCTGCCCCTTGGGGCACTGAGACTGCGCGTGG